GTGTGTGTGTGTGTGTGTGTGTGTGTGTGTGTGTGTGTGTGTGTGGTATGTGCTTGCTTTTGTGTCTCTAAAATCAAAGGACCCAACAAACACATTTACAGGTGAATATTTCATGAAGTTGTGACTTTATACTGACATCAGAAATGAGAAGTTTAATTTCAGACATCTATGCAAACAGCAGAGAAGTGTGTATATTTAATATGAAATCAATTACCAGTGTGTGATGTGACTCATTTAAGCGGTTGATGTGTTGTAAATATAAAAAGCTGAACACTTATTATAAAGGTTTTCAAACTGAGTTGCTAAATAAAGTTATTTTCGAATGAAAGCACTTTGTCTTTATTTATTTATTTATTTATTTATTTATTTATTTATCTTTGTTTTGATTGACATTGGTTAACCTATTAAAAGTTAAGGTTTATCATTCCTTGAAGCAATGGATATCACAGGCTTCCTTGTTTTAGAATAAAATCATCTTATGTTGACAAAACAATGACAAAACCCTTGAAATCAATGTTGGAAATCTAGTTTGTTGGCATTTAAAATATGCACGATGGAAAACTCCAAATAAAGTTTTTAGCTCCATCTGTAAATCCGAAGAAGTCATCCTTATTATGTTGACTGATTACAATGAGCTGCGGCAGCCATGTTGGATTAGACTGACTCTAATGTGAAACAATTTTAGATGTGCATATCAATTAATTATTTTCTTAAAATGTTATTAAAATTCAGTCCAGTGGTTCATCAAATATGTTTTCTAACAGACAAAYAGGGTTGACTCCCAACATTTAATGACAAACATTTAAGATCCTGCACAGTTAGTAAAACTGAATTTGATCTACCGGTAGTTAATATTTGTGTTATTTTCAGGTCAGTTGGCTCTGGCAGTCAGTGTTAACTACAAAGGTTAATTAATTATACTTTCTACAAGTTGAATTTAAATCTGAATCGTGGTTCAYGAGCAGTGTTGTATAAAGTACCTCAAAGACATACTTGAGTAAAAGTAAAAGTATCTTTCCAAAAAATTTCTTTGGTAAAAGTTAAAGTACTCTTTAGGAATATTACTTGAGTAAAAGTCTTAAAGTATCTGATATTTTTTGTACTTAAGTATAAAAAATAAAAGTATTGATTTAAAATGAGCAGTTAGATTTTCTGTAATGACATTTATTAAGAGGTGACATCCCCCAAAAATGCAGAAACGACTAAATTGTTTTAAAATAATTAATGTTAAATTTAGGATAGCTGTTTCAGTTTATATACATTTATCAAGGCTGCACAAACATTTTCTCCAAAATGAAAATCTATCTGAGAGCTGCGGCCAAATGCAATAATATAATTTATGAAATACAAATACCTCATCTACTTTTGAATACAGTATCAGAATTTTATATATTTATACTTCTCATTCAACCACAATTAAAATCACTCTGTCTAGGAGGCACAGTTTATATGGATAGTATTTATTTTTTACAATAACAAGCTGGAATGAAAACAAGAAAAAATGAAATAAAAGTAACAACTTTCTACTTCTTGCCTTTTTTTAATGTAAGGAGTAGAAAGTACAGATAATCGTGTGAAAATGTAAGAAGTAGAAGTAAAAAGTAGGCTGAAAAATAATTACTCAAGTAAAGTACAGATACCCAAAAATTCTACTTAAGTACAGTAAAGAAGTATTTGTACTTAGTTACTTTACAACTCTGTTCATGAGTTATTTTGCTAACAGATAAACATGGGCAAAAATCCTTTTTGCGCACCTTTCAACAGTGTTCAACGACAATAAGACACAACTTTGGAACTTGATCTTTGAACATGTGAAAGAAGCTGATGTCAGGTTAGAATAAAACTCAACCGACAGTTCATTGTATAAAAGACAGAAGGAGGTGTGTTGAGATGACAGCTGGGCTCTGAGATGATCTACTGTGTTGAAGGGTTTTATCTAATAGCAGCTAAGGATGCTCAGTATGAATTTGCCACCTACCCTACAGGACCCATTAACATCTTTATTCACGCTCCATTATAATAAATGTGTTTGTTTACGGGGAAGAATATTTTATACTACAGAATAATGACCTATCACCCCAGAACTTCTTYAACTTCAGCCTTTACAGCTTGAGCTGAAAGCCCATAATGAATGAGCAAATAATAATTGCTCTCATGCTAACTTTTGTCTAAATTCTGTCAGCTCRTGTTTATCTCAGAACCTAGAGGCAACTTGTTGACTCTGACTCACTGCGTCAGTGAAAAGAAACTGACCTCAGCGTGACTTTGCAGCTGCATGAGTAAATAATCTGGCTCAAACGTATCGATACTATTTCTGAKGTCGTTATGCAGCGTTTTCCCTCACAGATGAGGAAAGACTTGCTTCATGCTCAGATTTAAACTGTCAGTCTGTGATTATTATAATACTTTGTCACTTTGTCRGCTCACAAAATATGATCAGGAAAATACAGTGTGCTTTAATTTCATGAACTCTTGAACATGATTTTTTCCTTTTTCAATTCCTTTAGGAATATTTAATTAAAACGCAATAGTTGGAATGACTGGAATTTTGCAAAACTACTTAAGGCTTTTTAAATAACTGAGATACCACAAATAAATTAAGATTTTTTTAAAGTAAGTACTTAAGTAAAGTACTAAAGTAAGATAGTTACTAAAATAAAACCTTTAATTTTAAATTAATGTGTTTTACATTTCATCTTATGAAATATGGGTATTCATATAGGGTGGCTGTGGCTGAGTGGTTGGGGGAGTCGTTCCCTTAATGTTAGAGTTGGTGGTTCAGTTCCTTACTATTTTGTCACATGCTGAAGTGTCCCTGAGCAAGACACTGAACCCCCACTGCCTCGGATGTGTTTCCTAAAAGTGTATGAATGTGATTTAAAGCCCTGAGTAGTCTCCAGTGATTTACCAGTATTGTTTGTAGTGAGATCTAATAGACAGACAGATAGCTAGATAGATAGATAGATAGATAGATAGATAGATAGATAGATAGATAGATAGATAGATAGATAGATAGATAGATAGATAGATAG